TTGGGCTTTAGACTAAAGGTCGTAAAAAAAAACATTTCAAAGTGCAAAAAAATGCATAAAACAAGGAAAACAGTTAAAACCATTTCCTCACTACAAGAAGGTTCCCTGTTCAAGTTCACGGGGGAACAGGACCGTTATGTGTGGACTTTGCATGTTCTCCCTATGTCGGTGTGGGTTCTCTCTGGGTACTCAAGATTCCTCCCACCATCCAAAAACATGCATGTTAGGTTAAACACTCCAAATTCCCTCTAGAAGTGAATTTGAGTAGTTGTTTGTATCTGTGTGGCCCTGTGATGTGCTGGCAAGCTGTTGGCAGCTGGGAAAGGCTCCAACCACCCCACGACCTCAAAGAATAAGTGGTAAAGAAAATGGATGGATGGATATTACATACATTTTTTTTTTGCTATAAAAATGTTATACAAAGTTCCAATTAAAATTAATCATTGGTCTCTGATTATCTCTGTGCTGAACCCGTGGGATTTCTTTGGTTCTGTTTGCACTAATTACCCGCCAACAAGTCTGTAATAGAATGCAAGAATGATTGCAGGTGAGATTTAAGTCTACTATTGCTAAACAGATATTGTAACTCTATTGATTTTTGTCACCGGGCTTTCATGATCTTAATAAATACTTGCTGTAGTATCTGTCTTTGGAGACAACAACCTAGACATTGAATATAAAAAGGTAAAGCTTGCACTAAAGGGACGGCACTGATCATAGTCCTCACACTTTAATTTCCCTCTCAATCTCATCCTTGCTCCCAAAAGGCAGGAGCTGGCAGAATTAATGAATAATTAGATTTATGAGGGAAACTTTTGAATTATGTTTACGTATTAATCATTTATGGTGGGAAGCCAAGTATACAGACCACTGCTCTGCGGAAAATTACTAGCTCGCCACAGCAAATAAATTATCCATCAGATCTGCAAATCTTTCACTGCAAAACAGGCTTAAGGGCCAAAACCTCATATTCAAAACTGAAAATGCATTTGGGATCAACTTGAACATCCATGTTTTACCTATTGCATTGTAAATGTAGAACAGGTAAAACATATTTGTTTCCACATCTTATTACAGGATATATGACAATGATATACTGTAGCATGTTCATGTGAATTAATGTTGAGTTTACTCCTTTGAAAATCAATCATCATTCCTGGGGAGGGATGTGAGCTTTAAAGTCAAGGAGCAGCTAAGAAATAAAATAGTCAAAAGACGTGCTACAATGACCCAAAGGTTTATTCATTTTTCTGTGTTGTAAACCAGCATGACAATTTTACACGCAGTTAAATCGTATAATAACTGCACCGATAGTGCTTTGTGTGTCTGCCAGTGTAAGGTCTTTTCAAAGTTTCTTGACTAAAATCATATTGTTGTGTAAGTGATCAGAACCCATCCATGGGTGAAACCTGTTCTCTATTAGTCTTGGTTGTAACACAATAAGAGAAATCGGGAGTTGTGAATGTGTGGTCCTTCCCCTCTCTGACACAACTTGTCACAACCAACTCTTGGTAGGTGGTCCTTTTACTAACAACACTTACTATCTTAGCAGTTAGATCAAACCCTAACCAATCAGTACCCAGGTGGGGTTAACCGCCGCCTTATACTAAACTTCTTCCCCTTATACTGGATTTCCAGTGGCACTACAGGATATCTGTGAATGCCTGCATGCTGCGCCCGCATGCTGCGTATGCTACCTTGATGATGTTATCATCTACAGTAACACCTGGGCACCCACGGTGACAAAGGTTGCCACACTGATAAAGTGGCAGCTATCAGAAAACCGTTTTCCGAATGCCCACACCTGAACCTTCTCAAAGCACATATTCAAGCAGAAGTCCTGCTTTTTCACTTTCTTCATTCACCCCTCTCACTTGGAGCAGTGTGTCTAACCTTTCACATAGCCATCCTACTACATGCCAGATATACCCTGTTCACACACATTTATGCACATTTATTCCAGTCACTCATACGGTATCTGCAGCAGTCAAATGCGATTAATGCCTTACTGAAATCAGGCATATTTCCTACGTTACACCAGCAAGCTCGGGTTACACAACAGAAACCATCTCCCCCACCTTCTCAGTTGGAGAACTGTCAGGCGGTCTCCCTCCTCCCATCTCTGCCTAAGACCATTGAATGGGCAATCTTTAAGCAGATCACAGAATATCTCTCACGAAACACCTTTTATACACACTACCGAAATGCTCTCATACCCAGTAGTGAATACCTCTCATATAAACTTGTCTCTCTTTTTAAGCATCACACTTGTGCAGTGTCCAGCCGAGAAGGGATGGAGACTTCAAGGAAACAGTCTCCATCCTGTGAGCATACATTGGCCAGCACAATGGTTGAGATGGCCTGCTTGTGAGGGCTAGCCAATAGTCTGTCCCAGACACCCCCGCACTTGCCCCTCTTATGCTTCTTTCCTCACCCTTATTGCACCTATACACTGGGTGATGTGCAAGTGTGGATCATGCCTGGTCAAGGCCTCTAGATAGACTGGGTCCTTTCTAACACTCCTTCATAAGGGTTTGGGCTGGAAGTCGTTTTCTTTTTAATTTCAAGCAGAAACTCTCAAAAAGTATTTTAAACCAATAAACAAAATCAAAATATGTACTAAATCAAGCTTTGAATTAAATTAATAATAATCTTCAGTTCAACTAATCATTCTTTCCATCCATGTACTTCAGTATAATGTTTCTCAAGGAAACTACAGAAAACTAATGTAATACACTAACTCTGAGTTTGTTTTTATTTTGGTCACTAACTATCCTGTCATTTCAGATCCTACCCTTCTTCCCTACCATGCAATCACTCATTCCCCTCACCTTGGCCCATCTCCTCACCTGAGTTAATTTGTTCCTCAGTTTTTATACTAGTCCATTTTTACTTGATCCCAGTGCTAGATTGTGTTGTGTTATTCGGTGCATAGCTTTCCCTCATTTTCCTGTTCTGCCTTCGTGTTCTGACCTTGCTTTTGCCCATCTCAGACTTCGGATTCTGCCTGCCGGATTTGTTTGCCTGATTGTTGATATCCTGGTTTTTAAACCTGGTAAAAAAAAATTCCCTTACATTTCACCTGCCTGATTGTTGTGATTTTGGGTTCTTTTTTGCCAAGACCAGTGGCCGTGACAGAAAATCTTCCAGATTTCGCAGAACTTGTCAAGCTTATTTTTTGCAGTGTAGTTTATCCTTTCTAAACCCAAATAGCACGACATGACTGTTAACTATTGCAAAGTATTCTAAGAGCCCAAAGGTCAGATATTGAGTAAGGATTTTTTGTTTTTGGAAGTTGTCTGGGAAAATATTCATAATTGAGATTCTTGAGATTCTTTTCCAATGATCTGACTGGCCAGGCTGAATGCTTTTTCCCCAAAACAGAGAATCAGAGGGCATTCCCACATGCAGTGGAATGCCTAACATTTTTTGCAAGTTCTCCCTTTTAGAAATCATGGAGGGGTCTGAAATTGTCATCATAGGTACATGTCCACTATGAAAGACATAATCAATTTTTTTTTTTTAATCCAGAAATCACAATATATGATTTTTTAACAATCCATTTGTATGATACATCTGCGAATAAGTATTTGAACACCTGAAAAAATTAATGTGAATATTTGGTAAAGTAGCCTTAGTTTGCAATCACAGAGGTCAAATGTTTTCCGTGGTTTTTCAACAAGTTTGCACACACTGCAAGCAAGATTTTTGCCCACCTCTCCACAAAGATCGTCTTTAAAGAGGTTAGCTATTTTAACAACCCTTCGAGATGTCCAAATTTGAAACCTGCTGCCTGCTCTACTAAGCTGAAACTCGTCATTCCGTAAGATAGGAGACAAATTCTAAATTGCAAGTCTCTACCGAGTATTCCAAATCACTGTACCAGATCATAACTGTATTTTTGAGTAAAGGGTTATTTGTCTGTTTGATTAATTAGTTTTAGTTTGCTGAATATATCTACAAATTCAAAGGAATATTAATTGAGTGAGAATCTATTTGAACCCAAGCTGGGGGGATAGTCCTTCGCAAAACAAAATATCCCTGCTCTGATTTGAGCTGCCCAGTAATACCACTGGGTAGCTGTAATCCACCTCTATCAAATGGTAATTATTACAACGTGAGCCTAAGCCTGGCATGACTGTTGTGGCAAATGAAGGAGGAGAAGATTTTTCAAGTGAGAGGAAGAATGAAATTGGGGGGTCTAGTGGAATAGATTGAAAAAGATACAAATACTAAGGTAACATTTACTTTTTTAAAACATTGATGTGCCTGATAGAGTAATGTTGGTGTCCCGACCATGGACTAAAGCTGACATCATTGACACCTGCCAAACCCCACTGAGTCTGGAAAAAAGTTTGTTGATGAACTGCGCACATTCTGCAGACAATTCAGGGTCAGCAGAGTGGAAATCCATCAGGTGCTCTTAAAGAAATTCAGTCCAACCGAACTTGGTAAGATCGATGTCAACAAACTCCCTGCCCCACACCTTTGCAACAAAGTGCCAGACGAATAAAACGTGGCCAATGCGGAATACATCCGAGCTGTGGATGACCTCTGCACAGCTATAATCGCCAGTTTCCCCTGAAGATCAATTACGGTGTGATCTGTGCGTGCAGACAAAAACCTGGTGAGTCCTCTGATGACTTTATCACGCGCATACTTGATGTGGTTAATAGACATTGTGGCCATATAGGCCCTGCTCACTTTGAGGGGGAAATTACGCCATGGGAAAGTGTGGCATGTGACGCTTCTTCCTGAAGTTGCAGTCGAACTGAAGAGGCAGTACGTGGGATGGTCCGAACAATGTCGCCTGAAGGACTTGCAAAGATATGCGTGCCATGCAGTGCAGCTGGTGGAGAGCCAAATCACAAGTAAAAAGAACAAGACTGAAAAACAGCTCCACCTTGCCATGTACCAGGCATTGGCAGGCCAGAACCTGAAAGGACGTAGACCTCCCCGATTCCGAGGACAAGGCAGAGGCCACAAGGGCATACAAAGGACGAGGGGATAGAAAGTGGAGCGATTCGGACGTCTGTTTTCTTTATGGAAGCCCGGATCACATGAGAGACGAGTGCCCGCAGAACAAGCCTCGGGGAGGGGAAAAAGCCAACTGAGGGAGGAGCTCTGGGTCCGGAACGATGATCGGCTTCTCTTCAATTGGTGAAAATGCACACACACACACACAAATGCTACTCGCAAAAAGTAACTAATCATGATTTTCAGTGTAAAGAAAAAATGGTTTTGCAAGCATTTTCTGTGTTTTTTGAATCTCGAGTTTAATTTTGGAACTATCGTAAATGTTGCATTATGGGAAATGTAGTGACTGGAATGCGTGGACGTGACTGTGTGCGATAAACGGTGGCTGCACTTCGGGATCAGATGGGGAAAACGGCTCCGTTTTCAAAGGGACATATGCTCATTTAACATCTGATGCGTACAAAGTGTTGCAAACTTTTTAATTGACATTGTTAGGCAAGCAAATAACATTCATGGTTGATTCGGGAGCTACGTCATCAGTTGTGAAAAAAGGAGAGTTTTTCATTCAGCTTAAACTGAGTGGAAAATTTGTGCATTATTTGTTTGCGTCAGGCCAGACGGTGAAGGAGAAATTAACCATGCCCATTGTGTGTCTAACTCCCAATGTGCTCTCATTTGAGCATTCATTTTTGTTGTCAGATTTATGACCAATCAACCTCATGTGTAAACTAAGTATCACTCTTATCTCCACGCCTGAAGGGGTTAAAGTGGCTCCATTTTGACTGCAGTGCGATTTGACCCCTCTCCACTAACATATGCTTATGGTTGGAGGTTGCCAAATTCATCTTTTACTCAAAAACTTGTAATGGAGGCAAAAACATTGGTTGCACCCAACGCTGATTTTATGAAGGTTGCTGACCTGCAGTGCACAGCGCATGTTTCTTTGGGACCCGATAACAAGTTTGAACAGAGTTGGTTTCGTTCAAGGTTCAAGAAACTGTCAACATCCACCTTGTTTTGGAACACGGAGACTGCTGCATTGTCTGTGTGTTTGACTCCTCAGCAGCGTGACCATTTTCGTGTGTTTCACTCTTATCCACATGTGGCCTTGGCTAAGCCTAAGAGCTACAATTGGCCAGAAGTGGGGGAGTTTGTAAACACGTGCATCAGAGAGACGGATTGGGTTGTTGTGCCTTCGGATCCAAACTTGATGTTTTCTAAAAGACTGTTTGCATACAAGAAACCATTTTTGGGTACAATGCATTGTCAAGGAACTTTTGAGCTGATTCCTACAACAGAATGTCATTTTGTAACATGTTGTCTGTCTGAAGCTGAATTGTTATCATCACCAATTCTAGCTGAGGTGCCCTCTGACCTTTGGGCTAAAAACAAGCATTATGTTGATTTGATAAAAGGCTGTGAACCAGTAATTATCATTCCAAAATCAGATTATCGACCTTGTAAAAAACAGTACCCATTGAGGCCAGAGGCCATTGAGGGAATTAAACCTGTTTTTCGCTCGCTTAGGGAAAAAGGCATCATCTTCCTATGTGACAACTCTCCTGTGCGCACACCCCTGTTTCCTGTTAAAAAGATCAGGGGGGAGGGGCAGCCAGATGACTGGCGTTTTGTTCAGGATTTGCAAGCTGTGAATGCTGCCGTTCAACCACGTGTACCCACAGTGCCCAATCCTCACACTATTTTGTCTCAAATCCCAGCAAAGTCAAAGTTTTTTTCAGTAATTGACTTGTCTAATGCATTCTTTTCTGTTCCTATTCATCCGGATAGCCAATTCTGGTTTGCGTTTGAGTATGAATGAGGTTCTTGGACTTTCACCCGCCTTTGTCAGGGCTACTATGAAAGCCCGACCATTTACAATGAAGCCTTATAGGCCAATCTTGACCCACTGCAACTCACTCCAGGTTCTGCTCTGCTGCAGTATGTTGATGACTTACTTCTGTGCAGCCCGACCAAAGAGCAATGTGAAAGGGACCCAGTGAGTTGGCTCAGACACCTTCATGCATGGGGACACAAGGCTAGTTTGTCCAAGTTGCAATTTGTGCAGGATGAAGTGGTGTTCTTGGGTCATGTGATTTCAAAGGATGGGCGTTCCCTATCTCCGCAACGTGTGGTTTCTTAAACCAATCATGAAGAAGAAGCTGTTGTCCTTCCTGGGCGTGACATCTTACTGTAGGAATTTCATTCCTAATTACTCTCTTCTTGAAGCTCCAATAGGTGCTCTTGTTCATGGAAAAGAACTCCAAGCAAAAGATCCTGTGGAGTGGACTCCTGAGGCAGAGTCAGCTTTAATTCAGCTGAAGCTGGCTCTTCAGACTACTCCTACTCTTGGAACTCCGGATCCTGCCAAATCCTTTTTTCAGGCGGTGGATGAAAAGTGTGGATGACATCTGTTCTTTTACAGGAGCATGGTGGCAAACAGAGGCTTGTGGCTTATTTCTCAGCCAAGTTGGATCCTGTGGCTGCAGGACTGCCCTGTTGTCTTTGAGCTGTTGCAGCTGCAGACAGAGCTGTGTTAGCATCGCGTGACATTGTGGGCTACAATAATGTGACGGTATTGGTTCCTCAACCGGTGTCTATCATTCTTCTTGAACAGAAGACTTCACATCTCTCTGCGGCACGATGGTTAAGGTACACATCTGTACTTCTTGACATGCCGAACGTCACCGTTAAGCGTTATACAGTGCTCAATCCTACTTCGCTTTTCCCTACACAGGACGACGGTGAACCTCATGTGGCTCTTGTGGCTGTTTTGGAACAGCTTTGCACCCCAAGACCGGATTTGTCTGACACACCGTTGTCTAATCCTGACATGGTTCTTTTTGTAGATGGTTCTGCGGGGCGTGAGCCCGCTACAGGAAAGAACTGTGTGGGCTTTGCGGTGAGTTCTTCTTTGGACACTTTGGTGTCTGGTTCGCTTCCTCAGCATTTTTTAGCTCAAACAGCTGAGCTGGTTGCTCTGACGGAGGCATGTAAACTGGCAGCTGGTAAGTCTGTTACGATTGGTTCATGACTTTGGGGGCTCTGTGGAAACATAAAGACCTTCTTAAATCGTACTGGAAACCAGTCCTGATTGCTGCATTGCTTGACGCTATTCTCTTACCTGCACACATCTCTGTCTGCAAATGTACAGCACATGTCAACTCGGCTGATCCCATCGCTAGTGGCAATGCTATAGCTGATTCTGCAGCTAAGCAGGCCGCTAAAGTACCTGTTGCTGGTATTTGGCTCTTCATGCAGGCAGACGCCACACCCTATGATGTGCAAATTTTTTCCCACATTTTGCTAAATTGACACGTGGACCATGTGTCAAAAGGGGGAATGTTGGATGCACTCACTCGGCACTTGTTCACAAAAGGGTTTAGTACTTATGCAGGGAAAGCCATACATACATCACAAGGGCCGCATCCCCAGCTGGAGAGAACGTTTGAACATTTGATGATAGATTTCATTGAGCTTACACCTGCTGAGGGGAAAAGATATGCTCTTGTTATAGTGGACATGTTCAGCAAATGGGTTCAAGTTTTTCCATGCCAACCGCCATGCTGTGGCCAAAGCTTTGCTGACCGAAATCATTCCAACATGGGGAATTCCAGAGAAAATCAGCAGCGACAATAGTACGCACTTTGTGAATGCAGCAGTGGCTGAGGTTGGGGAGTTTTTGGGAATAAAACTGCGCACACACTTTGCCTATCATCCACAAAGTGCAGGTGCAGTGGAAAGAGAAAATGGCATTCTGAAGGCTAAGTTGTCTAAATGTTTGTATGTATTTTCCAGAAATCATTCCAATGACTGAATTGCGTAATAAGAGAAAAGTCACTTGCACTTACTTCCTTTGTCACACTCACTGATCATGAGAGCCAGTTCAGTTACCGATGGACATGGGGGTAGAGAGGGAGATGGTCACCCATGGTCTCAGCACTGCCCCCCTTTGAACAGTCCTACGCGTTTTGAAATCCCACAGGTGCCCTTGCAAAAATCGTTAGGTAGTTTTGTGGTGTGCTATGAATTTCTTGGTAAGGCAGACATTCCTACAGTGCCTGTGGGCGGTATTTCAAGCTCGGAATGTAATGTCATTGTCCCTGTCAATGACAGGATGGACATGTTTGTTTTTTGGTCGTTACGCTCCATGCATGCTGTACCCGGCACCTTATGGTACTGTGGGGAGACTAGGTGGTACAGTTACTTACCCTATGGGTGGAGGGGCAGATGTGCGCATGTTATGCTGGTCTCTGACATTAAAATTGCCATTGACCCTTTCTCGCCATCATCGTCAAGGAGAGGAAAACGATCTAGTATTCCTGGTAGTTTCGATAGCAAGGTTTACATGGATGCTATTGGGGTTCCCAGAGGGGTTCCTGATGAACACAAAGCCCGAAATCAAATAGCGGCAGGATTTGAATCTATTTTACTTGTGGCCTTCTATCAATAAAAATGTTGACTGGACAAATCATCTTTACTATAATCAGCAACGCTTTGTTAATTTCACTTATGATGCGATTGAGGGTTTGTCTGAACAGTTGCGTCCAACATCTATTATGACATGGCAAAACAGAATAGCCGTGGATATGCTGATGGCTGAGACTGGAGGAGTTTGTGCGTTTGTAGGAGGCTCCTGCTGTACATCCATTCCGAATAATACTGCTTCGGATGGTTCTGTAAGCAGAGCCCTGGACGGGTTAAGGGCTCTTCGTGTGGAGTTAACACTAAATTCAGGTGTGAATACTTCATTCACGGGCTTGCTCGACTCAGTTTTTGGTAAGTGGAAGGATGTGATTCCGCACCTTCTTACAGGTAGGGCAGGTGCTTTGCTTTGGTTGGTTACGTGTGTTTGCTGCATTATTCCATGTGCCAGGCATTTGATGTTGCGTGCTATAGAGAAGACTGTTTTCTCAGATGATGCGGCTCACCCCTCCTCCTCTTGCGTCGGGCACTTTGGGCAGTCCTTGGGCCTCAGATGTTTCTGATGATGACTATTATGTGTAATCTGAAGTGTTTATGTTGATTTTGGATCCT